ACAGGCCTAATATTTGTGATAAATATTTCATTATATTTGGGTATAAAAAAGCATATAAAACGTTTGACTTATTATTTGTTTTCCCAACCATGCGAAGTGTTAACAAACTAATTAGGTCTTCAATTGTGGGTATCGCTTTAAATGTAATAATTGAAGAAATAGAGGGTTGAGTACGTTATATAAAACAATTTTTGAATATCCAAACAGCAAGTCACGGCTAAAAATAGAAGAATGAGAAAGGTAATTAAAATAGTAATTATACTGAATTTATGTTTATAGCACACTTGATTTTTAGCTGCTCATAGAAAGGCTCTGAGTTCTTCAAGTACAAACTTTTAGCTCATAACTCCACCACCTCTTGACTGATTTGAGATCTAATTATAGTTTTGGACTCATAAGGTCAAACCCTTTTGATTGATGTATTTGACCACGCTCAAGGTCTCAAAGATTAATTTACTCTAACCCTGCCTAAAACAATTTCAATTTGAGGATAGGCTGGTAGAGATCCTGATGAGTAATAAAATCGAATCGGGTATACGAGCGCCTCACGCTTGGTAATCCTAGTGCAAAGATATATCTAATAAAAAGGGAAAAAAGGTTTCAAAAATAAATTTATTCTAATCCTGCCTAAAAGAATTTCAAGTGCCGCGACTATTAAAGTTGTAAATGCCCCCGGAAACATTTACAACTGTAGTTGGTTGATTCATTGTTAATCAGAAAGCTACATAATGGGCTATCTGCGCTGTGCCCACTATGAGTTTCGAAACCCAGTTTTTGCGTTATAAGGGTTCATACGTACCGCTGAGACACTGTGAACAAACGTCGATTTTCCCTCATTGCTATTTTATTCAATGAAAACTAGTGTTCTATTCATTAGAAATTCAGCATCTACACCAAGAGAAAAGCTAATGCTTAAGAGATATACTTCTGTGGAAATTGTTTTTAACATTTTAAAGAACTTCGACAACTATTTTTATGCTTAATATTTGATTTATCTATTTGTCTCCTTTAGTTAGCATACTCATTTTTACAGCATTATGGCTCTGTGGATATCAATTATTATAAACTACTAGCGAACAACACTGAAAAGGGTCGTGATTTTTTAAGATGAAAAAAATATATATGATTAAGATTAACTTGCTAATGTTACTGCAGTACCTGTAACAAAAACGTTTTTAGGTCTTGTTTTTATTACAGAATTTGGTGTATAATTTAGTGATAAATGTTACTATACTTAGTGTACCCATCCAACTTTGTGTTAATCAGTCATTCTTTTCAAACCGTGATATCAAATATAAAATCCTGGCTTGAATGTTTGGTAATTTTCTAGAAACTGCGGACGGCATTACTTGCAGAAGTGTTTCACATTCACTGGAGACAGTGTCTGTATCATATCTTAGAAAAGACTGCGTTCATAAACCACATATTTATGAATATGTAAATATGAATCTTTTAGCCAGCACCTACTCTGTTTTCTTCCCCTAATTTTTTCTACTGTCATCGACCTCTCCTTTTCGGTAATGTACATCTGTTGACACGAAAACAGGAATTCCGTTGGTTACGTCTTTATTAATTTTACTTTACCGACATTTTAGAAATTAAAAAAAAACACCAAAAAAAAAACAACAGACTTTTGATATGGTGATATGATATGGATTGCAAATATATATATATGCTACTTAGTTTAATATTTTATTACTCTGGGAAATTTATCATCCAATACTAAAATACTTCAAGAAACAGTGAATGGGGTGATATGCCACAATGAAATTAAATAAGACATCACACATGACAAATATGATGCACTTTTCTTATTTTGAATAACTCTGATTGGTTGGGAACTGCAGTTTCGAGATCTGTCAACTCTCATCAGCCCAATTAGATTATCATGGCACATATCCTTGTGAGTTTCGTGTGAATACTACTTTTTGGTGGTAGCTGGTGTTGACTTTCGTTTACCTAATTATATTTTTTTCATACAAAAGACAAGATGGAGCAGCTGGAAACTAGTGCTAAGATTTGAGTTTATCTTAGCATATGATACTTCATGACGCTAAACTGAGAGATGCAGTTACTTAATAATTACAATAATTATTATCAAACTCATAATGATATGAAACATCGTATAATTCAAACATAACACTGCAGTGTGTAGATACGTATATTCAATTTTATTCACATTGTTATGGAATTTTATACATGCACGTTAAAATAAATTTATGTATGAGCTCAACACTAATTCACAAAAACAGAATGACTTTTTTATCCGATTATAAAGAACCATTTCACTCAGTAGTTTCTCTTATTGAACATTTGTTCATAATTAATAATTATTCAAAATGCATCAATCGTGCTTTATTCCAAAGCACTTGGATACCCAACGGCCAGTACGTAATAATATTAGTTTAAGCAAACAGATTGTGTGATTAATATTCTGATCTGCTTATATTATGGAAATGTCTCAATGGATAAAGAATCCTGGGATTATAAGTGTCTGTGAAAATACAATTACAGGTTTGGTGATCATTTTATACATTATAATCTAGGTCTTCGATTTGAATTAAAAAATACAAAATTTTGCAACATATGTCTGACCTCAAAGATTAAACGCAGTATTTACTAAATGTTTAGATTTTTTCAAAGTTCTTCAATGTTTCATATTCAGTTTCCCATTAGAATGTATGAATTTGTTTGATAGTTCTCACAGAAGTTTTTAACAATGTTATAGCTACTTGATGTGTCCAAAGCTAAAAGTACCTAAACGACTCGTCCTGACAATAAACCAACACTTCTTGTTACCGCCTACTTAGCTTAGATATTCTTCATAACATTATTGGTCTAAGACATGAATGTTGCTGTGGGTTTCAAAGTACTTTTAGGGAAACGTGAGGTAGATTTTGTAGAGTAAAACCGGCTTAATTTCCTGAAGAGTAAAATGCACACTTAATGTATTTACCTCAAAACACCCAACGTGAAGCATGCCTTTAGTTTAATAAGCCTGCAGTCATTTACTTCGAATAGTTTATCTTCATCGTTACAGCTATGGCTTATACATTGACTATTAGTAGTCTATTTTGGACTTTTAAATAATCATTAATACTAATAAAGCCGAAACGATTCTATCATTACTGCTTTGATTCATGAAATGAAATAATCATTATTATGATTACATAATCTAGCTAAGAAGGATATACTTAAAAAAAAGCAAATTTTAAACAAAAAATGCATAAGGAATTTTATGGTGTATTACATCAGAGTCATACAAAGTTGAGCATGGAAAGGACAACAAAAACGGAATCATTGAATGATCTGCAGGACAGACATAAACTACGAGTCAGTTTTCTTCTAAGACAATACACGTATTACGTATAAGAGTATCGCTGTTTCAAACTTCGTTGAGATCTCCACTCAATCATTAAATCTATCGACTATTATATATATATACACATCAATCATCTGAAGATTTCATACAACCATAAGTACTAGCAGTTAAAAGCTCAATGCTCTTTTAAAAGAAAACGCCAATCTTTATTAGAGTAAGTTGAAAAGTTTTGTATAGTTTTAGTTACTGTATGTGTAAAGAACAATACATTTTTAAGGTCAGATAACATAAACCTTTCTTATCTCACTTTAGAATGCCCCTAGAAAGTAACATATGGTATATACACGGTAGTTATTTCTTTGAAAGGAACATAAACAGAAATATTGAAATAAGTAACAAAAATTACTACCAGAAAAATAATGCATCTCTAATATCTTATGAACGGTAAGCTGTTTAAATAATGAGAGATATCAAATGATTTTGAAGTCAACATCTTAAATAAACCAACACATGAAATATATATATATATTTACACATCAAATATATAGACATATCGGTATTTTTCAAGTCAGGATCGACTTACTCTTCTCATTCGCAACTTATTTAAAGGAATAATATAGACAATCCCTCTAACCACAGTTCACACATGTATGTTATATTAATATCTTACTTATGTCCAAATATATACAGTAAAATCACTTTCAGTATAGATATTTATAGTTTAAAATAAAAAATACTTAGACATACGTTTCATTACTAGAATCACAAAAGAACCAAGCCATAAACTCGCTCTCCATCAATATGCATTTTTGGTGTTATAGTAAAATAAATATTTGTAAACTGCTTCAGCTTTTACTGTTGTAGTAGGCGACGCTTCGAGTGAGGTCTTCTACAAGAACCCCGGTAGAGAGGGCTCTTGATATCCCCCTGTTTTTGAAAATCAACTGCACTAAGACCAAGGTCAGATATATTAGAACAACCGATAAATATAAATAGAGAAAATAAATTAAAATTAGGATTTTCAACTGTGATCCATATAGCTAAATGAAGCAGTTTAAATTTGACAACCAAATTAGGGATTGAAAATCGTTTTACAATCTTTACAAATAGTATCACTTTACTCGTTTGTGTACTTTTTATTGCAGTATTTATTTTATTTTGGATACTTCTTATAGCAGTTCTACGAATAACCAACAATCCCTTTTTTTTCTCCTATTTATTTTTTCAGTTTTAAATGTCCATGGAATGGACACAACATCTACAAATGTTCAGCATAGCCGTATCCCTGATAGCTATAACTTTCACAATAATTAAAACCACAGTCACAAATTTATAAAATGTAACCCTTACTTTGGCCTACAGATAAGTGTATAAAGCTGCTAAAGGAGGGATTAAATCTTATAAGTTTGTGATTGTGGTTTTAATTCTTGTTTCATTACTCTTTGTAGCAGAATCCCTACCTCTTTTTGAAATTCATATTTTTTTTAATAATCTTGTTTGTTTACTTTTTATGTTATACCCGTATAAAGTATATACTTTATCTTTAGAAACTGTCGCGTGTCTATCCATCGATATATAGCGCCATCCGTTGGGTTGAAAAGATATTTAAGTTCGTGCATGATGTGTTTACAATTTATAAAAATATCTGTATAGATCTATCGGAATATCAAAAGCGGATACCCACAGACCAGTCAAGTAAGCTGGGAAATTTTGTAGCAATAGTCCGAGCTGTCTAGGGGCTAGCCCCGCTTACGCGATCAGGTAGGTAAGTAGTAGACGAAAAAGTTGCTGTTTTAGAAATTTTTGGATTGTTATACCGAAAATGTTAGCAACCTTTTCAGCGTATTATTAGTATATATGAGCATAATATAATGTAACAAATACTTCGAATGGTCGGATTTGCACTTATGAATTCGATAGGTTGGTTTTTCGGCGTGTGAATTATTTGAAAACCTTGTCTATCCCTACTATTAAGTACTAGCGTAGTTAATAATTACTGTGTTTCTAGTTGATACGATACAACGTTCGTCGTTTCTAAAACAGCCACATTATCTTTGTAGATGAGTTGTAGTTGCCAGTATTAAATTACGGTAGTAAAAGAAACAAACTTTATTTACTAATTTTATCTCACAGGATAGTCACTAATTTGACCGTGAATAGGACCATATTGTGATTAGATGCAAGAAAAGATCGAACGTTCGGGAAAATGTTTAGAGGTGAATATTTTAACTGCTTCAGCGTAAAAAACAACAAAGAACCGGTATGAAAGTATCAAGGTAGAAAACCAATTGAAAAAAACAAAACAAAAACAACAACACCAAAACACATCAAATATAAACAAATATTTGATCATTCTCATTATGACAATTAAGATACTTCTATCCATTTCATGGCCAAAATAACGTTACCTAATACCAAGAAAGGATAGATATTTACAAACTGGACATACATATGGTTTTAAGCATGCTTCATATACACATAGAGCTCTCCATTTCGATCAGATTTCACAGACTACAAAGTTCAAGGGACTAGATTCTGAATGAATGTTTATAAAGAAAACGGCCACACACACAAATTCTTAATGTTGTTGCGTTTAGAGATATGTTTTGCTATTTGTTTGTTTTTTACCACAAAACAGAGACTGTGCTTTTAACTTATATTGTGGTAACTGGTCCCATAAAACAAGTTTTATATCTTCGGTTTGAAGACTCAATATTATAAAGTTTTATTCTGAATAATTATACTATTATTGTTATCACCACAAAATGTCGCAGTAGAGCTGCTTGTTACTGAACTCTTTTGCGTGTCTTCTTGAGTGGAAAGTGTCAGGTTTGGCATTGTAGTAACCAGGTGTGAAGAAGTCACTGGTACTGGAAGTGTATTTTCCACAGAAAGTTTGTTATTATAAAATCCAGAGTTGTTGCCAGTAGCATAACCTAGGGGAAAAATAGATAAAATAAATGAATTATAATATTTAAAAAATATGAATGATTTGTCATTGTTTACCCACACATCTTGAACTGCTGGAAAATTATAACTAATCATAATTATCAGAAATAAAAAAGACAAAATTAAGCTTTACATATTTATACAAAAAAGTAATTAAAATTTTCATATATTAGTTTCTGAACGCTGTTTGAGAACACCAACTCATCTATTATTTAACAGCCAGCAACATGTTTCAAATACAATAATAAGGAAATAACTAACAGTAAACTTATTCAAACCTCTAAGCAAGAACAAGAAAAATATATTATTAAAAACATGCTTAGAATAATTCGCAAATGTATTATAGGAATTTTTTTTAAATCTAGCTTGTTTTATAGTTTTTGTACAAAGCTACACAACGGATTATCTACGCGTAACAGTCACACTTGGCTACTCTTTTCTGACCCATGGCTACTCTTTTATGACCAAATAGTGGGATTTGACGTCACTCTTATAGTGCATCTACAGCCCCAAAACAGTGTGGGTAATCTAGTCACTAGGCCAAGGCTGACTCATAAATGTTATTGTCTAAAATTTATTTATTTCGTACGAATTCGTTGAAAACAGTCACACCATCAAAAATTTATAGGGAAGAAACAGGAAATGGTTAACATGTAATAAAAAAAGTAGATAACGTTTCTTTCGTTTAAATTGATATGAGATTATTTGAACGACACGAATATTTGAGTATACACGATAGAAACAAAGCTCTATTGGATGGCTGTTCATCTCTAAAACTAGTTTTGATTTTATCAGGCTAGATAATTAGAATATTGTAAAAGGTTGGTTTGGTTGTTGTGAAGCACGAAATTACACAATGGGCTATCTGTGCTATGACTACCACAAGTATCGAAACCAATAAATTAACGCCGTAAGCCTACAGTCTTGTCACTGAGATATCGGGGCATTATGAAAAAATTATTAAAAACATCCTTTGCAATGATATAATCAGTTTGGTAAGGTTATCCAGATTTGTTTGTGTGTTGAATTTCGCGCTAAGCTACTCGAGGACTATTTGCGCTAGTCGTCTCTAATTGTGAAATGATATACCAGAGGGAAGGCAGCTAGTAAACACCAACCACCGCCAACTTTTGGACTACTCATTATTAACGGATAGTTAGATTGACCGTCACATTACAACTTTCACACGACCGAAAGGGCGAACAGGTTCATTGAAGGGATTCGAACTTGCGACCTGCAGAATTCGATCCGAGTGCCTTAGATACCAGGCCCATCCAGATGACACTTTTACATTATAACAAAACCTGAAAAAGAATACCACAGTTTTTTGTATCTTGTTCTAAAGTCACTAGGCGAAAAGAAAAGAAAAATGCGAAACAATATGCAGTGCTGTGTAACACCTGACAAATATACAAACCAGTAAAAGACTTCTGTAATAGATAACGATTTATTCAGATAACATAACTAATTGAACGTGTATCAACTTTGGTGATTTTTAGACTTCTGTGGTCTTGAGTAGTTTTCTTAGAATTTTCAGTTTTTGAAACCTCTTAAGTTTAAGCAAGAAAACAAAATTATACTATTAATTATCAGTTACATGATATACGTATATTATAATGTTGACAGATTGTAAGTCTTTATTGCACGAATTTTATTGAAGTCACCGATCTCTTATTGTTAAAACAGCACATAGTACGATATTAAAACATCCTGTAGCGTGTTGAAACTTTCCTGAGAAAAAACTTGTGCTTTTAAATATGTTTCTGGTAAAAAAAAATGTTTCCTTAGGTCAAGCAGTTTTAATACCAAACTATTTTGAATACAGTTTTTCATTTATAATCACCCGGTATCTATAATTAAACCTGTTCTACAAATCATAAAGTGATTGAGTGCTTTATAAGTCTGGACGGTTCTCGCAAACAAAAGAGCGAACACAGTGTCCTCCTGAAGCTCTAGTTTCAATAAACAAGAGAGACGGAAATTAAACTTTCAGAGAACAAACTAAAATAAAGACGACGTTTCGCCGAAGAAGGCCAACAAGTGCCTGCTTTTTTTGGCACATTCTTTAAACAGAAAATATACAGGATAAAGCAGAAGGGTCGGGTTGCGTAGGATCGGAATCAGTAAAGAAAGAAATGTTTAGTATGTAACCAAGTAATGGAAACAGATATAATGTAATAAACTGTCCGAAAGCTCTTTGATCTTGTACGAGCTTATCATTTAATTTATACAATAATACGACCTAGCTCTTATAACAAATCTTTAGGCAGGTTTAATTTATCACAGTTCAATTAATAATTATTTTGAGGATTTAAATGTGTTTATGCCGCATGAAATCTTAATTGTGTTAAATCTCAAAAAGTGAACGATACTGGTTATCAAACCTTACGATTCCAAATTTAGAAAATGTATAATTTGATGAAAGAAACCTGTTATTGTTGGGTTACTAGTTTACTCGGTTTCTGTTCTTAAACTGTTTAAGCTTAAGAATAAAAGTGCATAGACAGGCTTTTGTTTTACAATCCTTCAAACATACATAGACATTTGAAGAACTCTATATTTATTTTGTATATGCAAAGCAGATTTATAATATGATGTACCACGTAACTGGTTGGACTTATATCGTTGTTAGACTACAAGACAAAAAGTGAGAACAAGAAACTCGCCAATTTTTAAAAGTAAATGTTATTGAATGCACGTGACACATCGTTATACAAAATGGGTAATAAACCATCCGCCCACCAGTGGCACAGCGGTATGTCTGCGGACTTACAACGCTAGAAACCGAGTTTCGATGCCCGTGGTGGGGATAGCACAGATAGCCCTTTGTGTAGCTTTGTGTTTAACTTTAAAAAAATACAATAATAAACCATCTACTCAAAGTCTTTAGTCATTAAAGTGTACTAAGAGTGAAAATGAAAGGAAATACATCTGTTACTAGAAAAACTGTGGAAATCAACTCCTGGTGACTGACGTAAAGAACAAATGATTGGAGCTTATAAAGTGTAACAGACGTCAAAGAGTGTCCCAATTAAACTAAATGTTTATTGCTCACATTGCTCTGAATGCTTATTATTCTTCTGTGTCAAATTGTTTTCAGCGTTTACTGAAGTTACTTATATATCTGTGTTCTATTGATGTGAGTCTTAACTGAAGCTAGTAATTTCCCTGTACTATATGGTTGGATATAGTCAAACTCCGATCATGTTAAATAAATCGAGTAATATAACATACAGATAAGTAGCTTCAGCAAATACTCAGATCAGTCAGTGTAACACAGAGATATGCTGCTTCAGCAAACACTCAGAACAACCAGTGTGACACAGAGATATGCTGCTTCAGCAAACACTCAGAACAACCAGTGTGACACAGAGATATGCTGCTTCAGCAAACACTCAGAACAACCAGTGTGACACAGAGATATGCTGCTTCAGCAAACACTCAGAACAACCAGTGTGACACAGAGATATGCTGCTTCAGCAAATACTCAGAACAACCAGTGTGACACAGAGATATGCTGCTTCAGTAAACACTCAGAACAAAGAGTGACGTAAGTAGCATCAGCAAGTACTCAAAGCGATATGATTCTGAGTGATAAGTAGCATCAGTAAACACTCAATGTATTGTAACACAAACAGATGGGTAGCTTCAATAAAAAAAAACTTACCATTATGATAGAGTAAGATAGTAGGTTTAGTAAACATTGAGAATAATGTGACAATGTGAGACAACTCACTTCAGTAATCAATTAAATGTGAACGGCTAAATAAGTTCCAGTAAACTATATGTAAAGTGAGACAATGCGAAATGAGTAGCTTCATTAAACAATCTGGTCAATAAGACACGATGAAATAAGTAGCTACAGTAAAATAGCTGATTAGTGAGACACGGTGAAATAAATAGCGTCAATAAAATAGCTGATTAATGAGACACTGTGAAATAAGTACCACCAGTAGAATAGCTGACTAGTAAGACACGGTGAAATACGTACCGTCAGTAGAATAGCTGACTAGTAAGACACGGTGAAATAAATAGCGTCAATAAAATAGCTGATTAATGAGACACTGTGAAATAAGTACCGCTAGTAGAATAGCTGACTAGTAAGACACGGTGAAATACGTACCGCTAGTAGAATAGCTGACTAGTAAGACACGGTGAAATAAGTAGCGTCAGTAGAATAGCTGACTAGTGAGACACGGTGAAATAAGTAGCGTCAGTAGAATAGCTGACTAGTGAGACACAGTGAAATAAGTAGCGTCAGTAGAATAGCTGACTAGTGAGACACGGTGAAATAAGTAGTGTCAGTAGAATAGCTGATTAGTGAGACACGGTGAAATAAGTAGCGTCAGTAAAATAGCTGATTAGTGAGACACGGTGAAATAAGTAGCGTCAATAAAATAGCTGATTAGTGAGACACGGTGAAAT